CTGCCATATTGAGTAGGTCAATTATGTCTTACCGTATTAAATGATTTGAGATAATTGGTATTTTACTTATAATAGACGATAAAATCACAATTCTGTAATTAAACTCTCTATTATTATTAATTTCACCTATTATAGTTTCGATAGCTTTATCTTTTATCACTAATTAGCAATCTATTTTGTTATATATATTTGTGATTATGATGTAATGCAAAGTAATTTCAATTTTTTAGTCTACCCAAAATATAGCTTATAACTTAATTTAATTGCAACATGTTTTTCTAGTTATAAACTTTTTTCATTAAAATTTTTTAGAGATTCATTGTTGTAAAACTTTCAAATTATTTACTTTTTTATGAAGAGAGAAACTATAAAGTATTAATTAACTATACGTCCTGAGGGGTTTCATGTTTAAAATTTATTTGTTTAATTTATAGTATTACTATTTACATCAAAGGTTCAAAACTTACACCAACGTAATATGTTGGGTACCATTTGAAAATGGTAAAACATTAAAAAAAAACAGAGTACGGGATTTTAATGTGTAAAAAGAGTTCATTTAAGTATTTTTTTTTCATTTTTTTATTCAATGAAAATTAAATATCAATTCATAGAAATTAAGCCAAACATTTGCTTCATAAAAAAATGCGGTTGGTTAAAAAAAAACAGAATTACATATTTATCATGTTAAATTATAAACATAATTGGTAAAAATTAAAGGCGGAAGTTCGTTAGCAATTGCAGCTGTGACAACGCCCTAACTATAAAATAACACAGCGTTCGTTTTATTTACTTTAAAAAGAACTACAAAATCTTTTCATCAAAGAAATACTGATATAATCAACAAATTATGTTCCACAAAATAATCACGGTTTACATATTTTGTCCATGGATTTTTACACTTCAAAGGTGCAAACAAATTACTAAAGAAACTGAAATAATTCAATTTTATAGCTCATTTTTTATTGAAACATTGTTATTGTTCATATTTTTATTTAAGTTGGACAATCTTAATATACAGGCAGATTATTTTATCATTGACCATCAAATTTCTCCTACAATAAAATTTGGTGAATATTTTTAATTTTCTTAATTTTTTTTGATATTCTTTATATTTTTATTTATGAGTGATTAAATATTTTAAGGTCAGCCCTTTAATCCCTTATAAAAGTAACAATTAAATTCTTTGAAATGTTGTACAGTATGATAATTACATCAAGTTATCATTCAAATAGCAGTTGCATGTAATAATAAAAATTCTTATTTTTCAAAAATTTAACATTTTTATCAAAATTTTGCCTTGTATTAGGTTTTATATAAGGCCTAGCTAGGTCTTATTACCCGTCTACCTTATTTATTAATGAGATTTATTGAAGAGTTCTTAGACTAAGACTAAATTTTTATTTTACTTTTGATGTATTACATTGTCAAAGAAAATAATACTCAAGTAACAACTATTTAAATGGAAAACGAGGAAGTAGATTATAATTTTTGAATAAGATGAACTTTATTGAAATAAGTTAAAATTAAAATTTTTTTAAGTTCTTTGAACTTATTACAGTTCAATAAAAAATAATTAATTTTATAATATTATTACTTATTAAAAGATATTATTCAATAATACTTCATACTTATTTTCGCTACGAATCTCAACTTATCCGATTTGTCCAAGCGTTTACTAGATTTTTAAAAAACCTTTATAATAAAAAATGATCAAACTAAGAAGATCATTGGACGATAACAAATTTTAATCTAGTATTTTAAAAGTTATTAACACTTTGATATATAGACTGGTGGTGAAGTGTGAGTTTTCATAATGAATTTTTCTATGTGCTATTCCTTCCTCTAGCGTATAAAAATATTCATAACTTTTAAACTACCAGTTTATAAGTTGTTATTGACCAGTGATTTTCTTAATTAAAACATTTGTCAACGTAAAAGGTAGTTAAATATGTGTATTGCCATTGAAAAGAAAAAGTTCACACTCTAATAACGGAACCTAAAAACTGATTAATCATTTGAAAATAAATATTACTTAACAAAACTAGAAAAAAGATTTTCAACATTGATATTTTTATTTATAAATTTTGTGACGAATCAATCACGTTGTAAATTACATTTATTAGTTTATTTTTCTACCCAAAGTATTTTCAAGTCATACTATACGCCATTCCCTCTCATTTTCTGATTATATTTACTTATTAAGCAAGTCGAAAAGCCATTATGGGTACATAAATGATGTATATTGTACATTATACAAAGAGGTCAAAGACAAAGCTTACGCCGTTGTGCTGCTCTTGCGAAATCTCCGCACTGCAGTCAGTTGCTATACGTTTTGTGTGTACGCACGTTAAGTCTAAGTCTTTGTGGTCGATAAGAAGATAGTTTGCTCACAGGAAATGAACACCGCTAACTTGCTTGTGTGTATGTGTTAAGATCTCTTACCGTCGGTATAGTTCACACCACATTATGCTACAATGGTGTGTTCCATTACCATGTTTTTTTACTGTAATCATTTAAGTCTATGATTTATTTTTCCGTTTCAAATGCACGTTGACGACGTGCATGCGATTAATAAGACTGACAGTTTTATTAAACTGTCGTGTTTAAAAAATTGATCGTCGAAAATGAAATCTATCAGAAGATGCTTTATAATGATAAAAATTATGTCATTTTATCGAAAATATAATTGGAATTTTTTAATTACGATTTACAATGTTTTTACATAATGAAATTTTTATTCAGTAAAACTTTTTAATTTTGCATAGAAACTAGTTTTGTCATTATACAATATTATCAGGCGCGTCTCCTTTTTATATTGTCTTTATTAAAGTTAGGACGTTTTCGAAATGTTCAATTAGGTTTATTTAGTCGAGAACTCTTAAAATTACGAGTTCTTTTAAGTGTCGACGTCAATATTGAGTTTTAATTTATGAGATGATGATATTTACTTTCAAAAATAAAGCAACAGTTAATATTAATCGCAAAAAGTATTTTATTACTAAAGAAATACGTCTCATTGTACGGTTAAACAATATATTATTAATAAACTGGAAAAAATATATATACAATAAAACTAGACACTTAAAACTAAATGTAGTCACGTAGCCGCACTCATAAACATGTTCTACGGACTTTGATTCGAGATCTGTTTGTCAGTAGTTTATTTAAAGGAAAATTTTAAGCACAATCAATCAATTCAACCAAAAGTTTGCAGTAATTGAAGTATTATGTTTGATTGTAATTTATCGCGCTTATGAATTATTGAACATGTTCATAATAAATTCTCCTTTTTAATCCGTTAAATTATAGTTATGGTTTAAGTACGAGCGTGTATGATAAAACACTGGGTAAAATATTGCTTTGACCCAACATAAAACGTTGTACATTTAAATTAAGAGCCGCTTTAGTTATTATTATTTATAGAAAGCATACCTACTTGTAAAAGTGTAATTTAATGGTAAAAATCTTTTTAAAACAAACCTCACGTCAACCCCGCCGTCGTACACTTCTTCTCGCAGCCGTCACATTTATACTAAATGTCATTGTCTACTACCACTTCGCATTTAAAATTATGATTTATTTCGTTTCGCAGTGGCGGTATGGTATTTGTATAATAAACTACATTTCAGCTGTCACACGGAACGACGTATTGAAATTGTGTACCTACTAAAATGTCACATTACGAAATCATCGCGAAACATATCTGTTATTGTTAATACACATTAAACCTTGTTGCGTATTAGTGGTACTTAGTAAAAACACCATGTCGGCCATTCAGAAGACTAATCGGCGCATCTTTATTCACACGGTATAACGCAATGCTCTGAACTGCTCTGCGAGCGACTTGTTCCCTGCCGTTTATCAATAGACACGAATCAATTGTCACGTGTTACACACAATTGTAATGAAATCACAGCACGTAGTCACACTGCAATTAAACAGAAAAACGAATAGCGCGCAGAACTTGTTGCGCCGTTTGGAGAGCAAAGTTTTATCTCTGTGTTTACCATCTTCGGTACGGTACGTCAATGAAACTCACTCGGAGAACAGCTAGTGTAAACAACAGTAAAATTAATACGTTTTATGTGTGTGGTGTGTAATTAAAGGCCAACAAATAACAATGTAATGGAAAACCGCTGAACTGTTCGGTAGGCTGGTAAAAACAAAAACACGTTATTTATACGCAACGCCCAAGTTTTCATAATATATGTAAGCTCCGATGAAGCTTACATTTATAATAGTATATAATTTCTACCCGTCATTTATAACGGTGCCAGTTTATCTTGGGTTTAAAACGTGCACGTTTATAACCTTAAACAGAAAAACAAAATATCAGTTGGGGCTCTCCGTCATAAATATTTCCTATACCCTGTCACCAAAGTCCATCCTCACAACGGAATTTGTTACTTTGTTTAAAAACTGACTGTCTTTTTGAAAAATTACTCGACAGCCCGAAAAGAACGTGTTCGAGATTATTTTGTTTTACAATAATAATTATTTTTTAAGAAAAACAGCTATAATATTTTACTTATAATATATTATTCCCAAATGCCCTGGAAATATTTTTAAAACTCTTCGTCAAGACGTTTGCTACACTTTTCATTAAAAAACAAAAATACAATTTAAGACGTATTAACCAACTCAAAATTGCAATAAAAACAATGAAAATATTTCATTGAAATATGACAAAATGTAAAGCTGCCAACGTTCATAAGACGTTATTATCTTAAATTTTTATAATCATACGAATCAACATTACTCCAATACCCTTTAAACTGTAATGGAGGCGTCACGTTTTCAACATTATTGCAGTGCAAGGTCATATAGTTAATGACAATAATAATTATATTATAGTTTTTATTGTTACACCCCTTTAACGGACCCGCCGTTTTTTTAATTAATATTTCCAACGAACATTTCCTATTAAATTCTGTGCTTGATACTTATCATCGCTGTATAAGCGATAAAGTTATTTTATTTGCTAAGCAAACGTATCTCACCTCAGTGCTTCCCTGTAATGGCTCACAGCTGTTTGCGTGTCTCCAACGTCCCTTCGGTAGTTGGCCCAATTATAGTGCATTTTAGCGTTGTGCGGTAACGTTTTCAAACCGGCTCTGGAAAGTTTTTTTATCGTTAATTGTTTACCGTTTTAATTTAAAGGAATAAATATTATGGTATGACAATATTTCTAAAAAATCTTACTTAATAATTGTAGGCCTAGAAAGCCAATCGCTATTTCTTATTGCGGTTCTCGCAACGAAAACTATAAGTGTAAGGCCGACGAGGAGCTTAATCAATATATTTAGCAAACGTGATTTTCTGGAATTCATTAGAGTTTGAAGACCATAAACACACCATAAAATTAATCCCATACTACAAAGAAACAGGAAAATTTAGTGTATTACAGTATATAATATTAAAAAAAAAATCAAGACTATAAGGTTTTCGAAACAGTATTCGGTCATAAAACATAAAAGAGTCAAATGTTTTTAACATGAATGATTAAGTATTTATTACCTCGGTATATAAAGTACCCTCTCAGCCACCACAAATCCAACGGTGACCAAAAGATTGGAAGCAGGGATGTAAGGAACAACAAGAAGAAGTGCCGCAAGTACCTGAGGAACATGTTTCTGGCTCTGAAAAAAACAATGATAAATTTAGAATTTTTTTTGCGTGTACGAGTTTTACAAAAAAGTCAGTTACAACATTGCGGAATTTTATACTAAAGAATTCTTGAAATAAATATATTTTATAAAACCTGCCATCTGTAAAATAATACCTAACTCATACATGACGGAAAAAGAGGAATAGAAAACATCAAAGAATAAAATTAAAAAAAAAACGTAAATGGTTCAGTTAAATTACTATAAAAGTATTACTAAAAACAATCAGAAAAAAATCCTAAGTAAAAGCAATGTATTGTGATGTTAGTTTGCTTTGAACAAGGTACTCATAGAAAATACAATTTTATGATTGTCATAGTGTGAGCGTTATGTTATTTCGATATGGTGACAGTATAGAATTATTTATTTTTTATATCTATAATTTATATCTTTCTGATATCCATAAACCGCAAAAACCGGACGTGGGATAAAAATATTTTAACTGGTATGACAGAATAAATAATATTTAATATACTTTGTATCTAAAAACTGATTAAAATCGAGAAATGCTATTTAGATTTGGTATATATTTCAATTATACATAAAATGTGTCAAAAACAAGATAAATTACCATTAATTTATCGTATTTATAACGTTGTTATATTTTGTTGCAATTTTCATACATATAATTATTAAATTATCTTTATCGAGGAAAGTTTAATGATAAAACAAGAGGTTTTAAAATATTAACTAAAATAGAAGTTGAATTAAATTACTCTGCTATGGTGTTCCGCTGAAAAGAGTTAAAGAGTAAAATGAAAGTAACGTTTTGTCTGTATATTAATTAAATTATCTTCTGACTCTTGTACTTATGATATTGAGGTATAAAATGTGAGTTAATTTATTGTTGCTCATTGATTTGCATAAATTTACATTCACGTCCGTAAAGGCTAATTATTTAATTTAATTAATTTAATCAAACAATATTTTATGATGCCAATTTCATTAGTAGATAAATAAATGTCCATTAATATCGATTTCATTTAAAACATTAAATGAGTTTAATTGAAATATTTCTTCCAGTATTTGAATATATTATTCATTTTATTTAATATTTGTGAAGTCAAAATCATGTTTGAATGGTTAATTTATTATTATTTATTTAAACTTTGAACATTGCATAAAAACAAATAATTAACACAATAGGAACATTAAATATTGAAGTTTTATCGTTAAAAATATTTTTCATCGCAATAATGATGTATTGCTATTATATTTATTTTTCAATGTTTTGTGTTTTTAATCTGTGGTGTACATTTTTAATTCCAGAAGTATGCATACACCATTGTTGTTTGAGTTTATGTTATTTACAGGTTTCAAATAATAACACCGGTAGTTCGATTGATTTGAAAAAAAAAAAATAATGTTTTTTTTATAATACGGCGACACAAATAGGAATTCTGTATTTAGTACGAAAAATAGGTTATGTTTATGTCGATTCCCGAAAAACCGATGGTATATAATTATAATTTAGTGCCTTAGGGGATACACATACACCCGAGTTGGAATTATTATTTAAAAAAATTATGTAGTAAAATTGGACAACAGCTCCGCGTTTTTAGTATAAATACGAGCCATTTGGGAATCGGAATGGCAACTGCTGCGATGAACGCACTCTAATCGAGAGAACATCGCGTGCAAGTTTATATATTTTCGTTAAAGCTCATTGGTCACCGCCTCTTGCGACGCTGATAACAAATTAGTTCGTATCAAACACAATGTTACTTGGCTGATTATTAAACGCGTTCTCGTGTAAACGAATAATATTTGTCTGAATTTCCTGCACACGGCCGTTTAATGATTTCATATGTTAGCGGAATGCGGTTTTAATTGTCAACGTCAAACGCCGTGGCCTACGCGAACGCATGGTGTGCGGAGTCGTAGTCATATTGTTGAACAACGAATAGATAGTAAATCTAGTGTGGCCAAGCCGTGACCTATGTGACGGCCGTGTATTTTATCTGTGCCAAAACGCTTTGACCGAAATGTTAACGAGCCCGCGTCGACCTTTGCCAGACACGCTTATCATCGGACGCCCTGCCCGGTGTTGATTGTCCATGAAATTCCGGTGTCCGTTTGCAGATTAAACCGACTTCCCTTGGCGATCGCCGGTCAGGATTCTGTAGAATCCATTATTGGCACCCGTGTGCAGGTCCCAGAAAGGACGGAAGACATAATTCACACGATTAAAGCGGTTCTGAAACAGCACCTTCGGAATTTCCTGTTGGCACCGCCGCATGTGATCACACGGGAATTACCAGCATTAATTACGGCTGCTTAAGCGGTTTTATTATCTCAACAGGGTTGCTTAACCTTGGGGTGGACCTAAGTTTTTGTCCAACACCACTGTAAATTCCATTCTGTACACACGGGTGAGCTTTCTAAAAGGACCCTTGCCTGGCCAGATAAGATACTGTACGGACATGGTTACTTTTCATTTCGCGTATTCAAAGCTATGCGTAATGTTTTCTATTGTTAAACCATTTCCAGACTCCGTTAAATATTTAATTGAATTTATTTTTTAGCCACTTGCTGCGAATATTTAACCCCGTACGAAATGGTACCTTTTTTTTTTTTTCGTAAAAATCAAGTGGCATTAAAATTATGCTCGTTTTGTAAAATACCTAACACACGTCTTTACTTTTACAACCGTACACGTGTATATATTTGTTTACAACCGTTATTTTAACCCTTTGTGGTTTGTTCTTTATACGAAATATGGTCGCCGTTAGCTTATAAAAGTTTAACCGCAAAACGTTACCGTTTTAAGGTGAAATTGCGTTTTTTTACAGGCTGAGTATAATTAAGTATATATATATATATATTTGTACATTGGATATATGTAATACACTCATATTTACTTTGTGCAATATATTATGAATGTTTTTTGATTGTAGAAAATACGTATTATTTATAATTCCATAAAGTCAACTCGTGTAACTCGTTTCGTAAAAAAAAAAAAAAAGAAAGAAATACAATCAAAAAGTATAGCTTTTTATTCTACTATGTCTACAATATCTTCTATTGATACTTTTATTTAGTTTAATTTCAATATTTTCTTGGTTTGATGAAATGTATGAGTATTTTTATTTATTATTTAAGTGATTGTGTTAGCAATTGAATTTCGTAGCGAAATATAGACGGGATTTTTATCCTAAACTTTGTCATTGTGAGAGAAAGCAGTCACGAAATTGTACGATCNCAATTGAATTTCGTAGCGAAATATAGACGGGATTTTTATCCTAAACTTTGTCATTGTGAGAGAAAGCAGTCACGAAATTGTACTATTGTAATATTAAGATATAAAACACAGACTTCACAGTGCTGTTATTTTTGGGGTTCACTGCAACGTTATCTTTTGCCGGGGACTCAAAGCGCCAACAGATGGGCAATGACAATGGGCACCGTTAGTAGAAAGGTCGATTTTGTCCGTGTTTCAAGTTGTGTTATACTTATATTTATACTTACGTCCATGTCCGATAGTATCTTGCACGTCGCACAAAACAAAAAAGCTGCAACAACACATGTCCCGAGGTTTCTGATGTCGTTGACAGACGTGACCAATGGTAACGAGTTCATCTGCCAGTCGTGGCTCAAAGCCGAAGGACACAACATCAACCATAGATTGAATACAGCCACATAACAATAACTCAACAGTCTAATAAAAAATAAAAACCACTATATTATATTTTGATTTTTTTCCAATGTAAATTATAATTTACATTCGACGTTCTTTATGAATAGACTTTCTCAGTACAATATGATACGCCAAAAAAAAAAAAAATCTCTAAATATCTCTTATGGTCATATACATAGTTAAATATAGAACTATTAATTTAATTAAATAAATTATGATCCATGTGTTAATTAAAGTGATCATATAACAAGAGTAGCAAAATATTCATTAAGGTATAAAAACTGAGGTATTATTTTTATACGCTGTTTAATGATCCCGATACTATCAGTTGAACAAATCTCTCAAATACTATCAATGTAATCCATCGAATGTTGTTGTAAAAAAGAATCGAGCACTAACGAAAGCTTTCGCAAGTAGTGCAGAGATTGTAAACCGGCCTAATGTTTAATATGTAGTTTGACTTCACTCTTTTTTTTCCTTCCCTTGTGTGTGCTGCCTCCCATACACATACTTATTGCTGCATTCACCAATATTCAGGACACGTTCGTCGAGATAAGTAATTTCGACAAGGTTTGAGGACATTAAAGCCTAGGCAATACGCTCTTGAGTACCCCTTGAGAGTATATGTGAAACTTTTCGAATGGGTCGCAATAATATTTTTCTTGATTCTTCTTTCAACGAATAAAAAAGAATCTCGTTTAAATCAGTTGAGTGTTTATAAAATGTTGTTTTCTTCACATGCAATATACGTAATATTTTTTATCTTTTATAAGTACTCATATTCGAGTTATATTGGTGTTTAACTATGTTACACAATTTTTCTAACAGTACAGAGGAGTTATTTAATTTAGTATTCTATTAAACTAACTTTAACCACTTAAATTATAATTTAATTGGTTTCTATAATCAAAAAATGAAATCATTGAAATTTTATATGCTTATTTTTTTCACCCTAAGCTCAGTATTAATTGTTATTTAACATGAAAAAACTACAAATCGTTTTATAAGAAATTATAATTGACTATAATTATTACTAAGCTATTTATAATAATTATTATAAATAACATCAATAGTTCTAAAAATAGTTAGGGATTCTTATAACTTATTCATTAAAATTATTTTGCGTAGTCTCAAGATTTCTTAGTAAAATCTCATATATTTATTCTGCAATTTTGGAACAGATCCAATTACAAAAATTATTTTATGTTCCATACATTATGGACGTTTTATAATTGTAAATAAGATTATTAATTAGCTTATTTAATAATTTGTTTACTATACAATTAAGTTGTAAAATAATTATAGTAAAAAATTGATTAAATTATTTGAAAACAACTTAAAACTTATGCTGTTAAATAGCAACATTTTAACGATTTTTCAAAAATAATACAAGTAACATTTTAATTATAACTCTTAGGACTGTGTTGATCATTTTACATCAAGTGCCGNTTATTAAATAATTTGTTTACTATATTATTAAGTTGTAAAATTATTATAGTTAAAAAATTGATTAAATTATTTGCAAACAGTTTAAACCTTACGCCGTTAAACAGCAACATTTTAACGATTTTTCAAAAATAATACAAGTGACATTTAAATTACAACTCTTAGGACTGTGTAGATCATTTTATACCAAGTGCCTGTTTTTCCAGACGAAAATAACTCATCGTAGTCAAATGTATTATATTATGGTAAACCTTTTTATTTGCATACTATTTCCTATTGGTGAATATTTTTATAGCACATTTCTAGATATTTTGATTTTAATAATAAAGTATTTATTTATAGTAAAATAATCATAACATGTTACCCTGTCGATAAGCAGAATACTTAAGTATATTTGTCCCAAAATAAATGTACTTTACATAGACAATAAATTTCAAAATAGTTAACATTTTATATTTACAAGAGATTTCTATGTTTATTTTATACTTGCATGCATTTACATAGTAAAAGTATGTAAATAAATTAGAACTTTCTAGCCAAAAATCTGGTACTGAAAATTTAAATAACTGTCACCAATAGAATTCAGTGATCCTTTTCGAGTACCAGTTTAAATTAATTATGTAAAATAAATTCTAATAAACAATTTATTACCACTAATATTTTATGAATTCCATTATCAATTATTAACAAAAAATACATATGATTAAAATCAAGACTACCAAATCAATTCAACCATTATTCTAAATCTAGAGTACTTTTAATGGGATAACTAAAAATCAATTTCTATGCATTCTTTAGGAGATTAATTTTAACTAACTAAATTCCCACTGTATACACCCATAAACAATATGTTTGAGTCAATTTTAACTATGTGGATACTAAATAACAAAGTTATTTTTCAAGTGAAAACCTCAAAAACAATTATCTTGAAATTAAAAATACAAGATAATAAATTACTTTGATGTGATTAATAAAAAAGTAAATTTACATGTAGTGGAAATTTCAATTTATTTATCGTATTGATTAAAAAATTTACAAAACTTACCTTTTTGTGGGTAAAAAAAGGGATTTTAAATTCTAATTAGGAAAAGGGTTTCTATGAAACATTGATATATATCTACAAAGTGATAGATATGTCATTGACCTCTAGATTTATTCTGAAATAATAATAATTTTGATAATTTCATTTCTTAATTTTTAAATGGGAAAATACGTATAGAGTGATTGTTCAACTATAATGAAATATTTTTGAAAATATATGAGCTAGTCATTTGTTTTTTTGCAAGAATGAAATTATTTGTTGACCTAGTCTATGGAAAAAATTTAATTTCTATTTTCAAGCGCTATCAATTTTTAGCAATGCAATGAATTACATTGGATAATAGAACTATCGATTTATAGTGTTTGCTCGTTATAAAAAATAAATGATTAATTTTTCATCTTACTTAAACTTAAAAGACTTGTAGCTCATTGGGAATTAAACAACAGAAGAAAATGTTCTATGTAGCTCAATGTTTTCATTTAACAAAATTTAGTTGGTACGTTAAAAGGGGTAGATCTAAAATATATTTAACCAATTACAAATTGATACATTAATAATACTACTCAAAATAAAAAAAACTCAAAAATATTGTTATTTTCAGAGAATTTGATTGGTCAAAGGAAAATTCAATGGTCTTATAAAAGTAAAAACTTTTAAGAATAGATACTCAAAAATGTATGAAAAATCTTTTTGTTTAAGTTTTATTGTTCAATTCCTATAGAGTTTTTAAACTGTATTTGAAAAATCATTTCTCTTGTGTAGTTATAAAGTTTTGAGAATACATAAGAATAAAAAGTTAAGAAACTATCATAAACATTATTTTATAAATAATAAAAATTTTTTAATTGTATTAAAATTGGACTTATTTTTTGTAAGTTTATTGAAATATAATTGGTATATATATATATATGTGTGTGTGTGTGTGTATATATTGTGTTATTAGAAATCAGTATTACNATACATAAGAATAAAAAGTTAAGAAACTATCATAAACATTATTTTATAAATAATAAAAATTTTTTAATTGTATTAAAATTGGATTTATTTTTTGTAAGTTTATTGAAATATAATTGGTATATATATATATGTGTGTGTGTGTGTGTGTATATATTGTGTTATTAGAAATCAGTATTACAAATTCAACGAAATCATCTTTAACTTGTTTAAATAAGTTTGATTAAATGACAAAACCATGTTATAGAACCCTATATAAAAGACAATAGCTATTGCGTCTAATTTTATGTTAATAAGCACAATTAGACTATATATTGTTCATTTGACCTATTATTATAATTAAGTTTTCCTAGAATTATAATATATTTACTAAGACAAACAATAAGCTAACCATATGTTGAATATTTCAGTATGTAGCTGAATCTATTAAGATTTACACAGACTTCAATTACTATAGGTTTTAATTAATAGTATATTGAAATTACAAAATCATGTTGAAGCGTATATTCTATCTATTCAGTAGATTATTCATAATTGTTAAGTGGAAATCGAGACAATTATACTCACTAAATTTCTCCGTAATAATATCAACGTGATAGTCAATTAAATAATATCAGTTTAAGAGTAAGGTTTAAATGGTTCAAAAACGTTTAATGTTGTTTGTAATAAAATAAATTTTTTCATATTATTGATCGTATGATTACTCAAAATAATATGAAGTATCAGGTAAGCATGCAGATTTTCATAAAAAATATTAGGTATTTATATTTTTATTAATTTAATAATCATTGTTACATTGTTTATTTATTCAATTTTTTTTCAGCTCGTGAGTCTCTGAAGTTAAACACGTTTGATTCAATTAAAAATTGATTCACATTATAACTAAATATGAAAAATAAAAATGATTTAATCTGCAATTAAATATCGTCATAAAACACAAATTTAATGGTTCTATAGGTGGTTTTAAAATTCCACATTATAAAAATTATTTTAAAAAAGATAAGTTAAGAAAAAGAAATATAATATATATGTAAAATATTTTAAGGTTCATGAGTTATATGAGTTGTCAGATCTGTTCTATGCTGTATATCTATATAATGATTTTAATTATTATATTTATTTATATACATTTGAAAACATAATAAATTTAATTGAATACCAATCATTACCAAATAACAGTTGCGAGGGCAGTTTATTAGTAAGTAACTAATATTACTATTTTACTTAGTAAGCAACTAATTGAATTAGTATTTGGCTTTTAAATTCTACTCGAACAAGCTTCTCGGTAATGTTATTACGATCAGCACAGGTAGTGTTTATGAGGTGGAATTGAAGATTGTTAATGCAAGTCAAGCGTATCGAGTCAAACCGAAGATAGACTTTTTTGCTGCCTTTACGGCACAGAATAATAGTTTTGTATAATTTACAGAACTCAAATGCGCCGTATTGTTCAGCTGAAAACCAAACACTGTATAATGAATTCGGGAGGTGGCAGCGCCGACTAACCTGCCAAGAGGCATTTCCGGTCGGCGTATTTTTGAGGGAAGTACATTTGCCAGTGTATCAAGTTGCCAACAAACAAAATGACCTCATCTGGAATTCCCTCGCCATCGGACTACAACGATAACCTCGAATACCATCGTATGGCTCGCCCCGTGTTAAATTTATCGGCCGACAGAATATCTTCGTATAAATGGGTTCTAAAATATGTCCGTTTTGAACATTCCGAAACCTGGTGGAAGCAGTGCGCCTCTCTGGCCCACTGGACACCTCGCCGTGGGATTTCCACTTTTACATGTATATGATATCACGGCATTTCTGCGCTCCCTGTTTCCCCACCCCCACGTCCTCTAGAATTTAATATTAACTACCGCCGTGTTTTAGGGGTTGGTTCTGGCGTATAAGATACACGATAAATTATTCGACAGCGAGCCATTTAACGGGACCGAGCGCATAATGTAATGTGGTCCTTGCATAGTTTTATGCGCCAAAACCATTCGGCACACCGAAATCCTCCTCGGTCCAGCCACATTATCCCTCCGATCATTGTTAAACAATTACCGTTAGTTCGTGAATTAGTTACAAGGAATACTGGGAATTTAACCAGTCTCGTGTACACGGCAACGTGTTTACACATATTTCCCTCTTACGTATAAATTATTTCAATGAAATAGAAATAGCAAATTTCACCCGAAGAAATATTTTCTTGCATATTTATATAAGTCATGAATATTCGTGTAACGAGATACGTGTTCTTCGATACTTCGGTTAGTTAGTTGGTTGACGGCGACTCTAATCTAATGCATTTTTTAATACCAGCAATTTCCGACAGTTTTTCGCTATTTTCTTATCGTAAGACGAACTTAAAATAATTACGATTCGACAAATACGATTACATTTTCCAGTAATTTGATCAAATAGAAAATTTCGCAATTGAGAAAGAGAATTTTAAAAGAAAATCTTCTTTTTGTTTGTGTTCTATAACTTTTGCTTTTATAAAAATAATTGCGGAAGTAATATTCGTGTTATTTACACTTTATGCCCGCGCAGGTTAATTCGTATAGTTTATAAAATCGTTCAGTATATTTAATTTCTACACGAGAACTTCTGTACAGGAACGTCATTTCCAATCAAGTATATTTTACATAGTATTTTCATTTAAAAACATCACGACTGAGTCCTCTGAAATGGGTCTGCTCTGAGCATAACACTCCTGTCATTCGAAGCAATCGACGTAAAGAACTCGAGAGTGTAATTAATTATGCCTACGATGCATTGTTGCCACGGTCCGCGAACTAGGTTACGGTAAGGCAATACAAGAAGCACTTTCGGTTTTTCTTTTGGTTGGCTAGGCCGACGGTCTCAAGTGTGCTAGAAAGTACCGTTGCTAACAAACTTTACTCTCGTCGGAAGATCATATTATTATTGTCATTATAACACAAATACACTTGTACTTTCTTCGCACCGGGCCCGTTTACTGACAAAAAGGAAAATTTACTCGAACTTTGCCAAATTAAGAGAGGACAAATGTAATGGCGTGGCACCACCGTAATGTTCCGTGAATTGACTTTGGAGATAACGTTGAACTCCTTTGTATGGCAGCACAATAATGTAGCATTATGTGGTTAGTTTACTATTTACGCTGTAGGTTTGCAACGATTTTGACACGCTCTGCTTGCTAAACAGCTTACACTCAGTCCCGGACTATATTTTGTGGATACTTTTTTCGTAGAAACTTTTAAAGCTGAATAATTGTACTTATTCTAGTTTAGTATTATAAAGTTCTAATTTGCTACAGCGCTAAATAATAGACTAAAAGAATATTACTCACACAAAACCTTTTTCTATTTAATATAGTTCTAGATTTAAACAAATTCATGTAACAGGTGGAATATTTGATATTTATTTTTTGCTAAATTTTGGTGTTGAAAATTATGTTTGCAGTGACCCAATAATTAATGCTGATTGTACAAAACTTAAATTTAAAGTGTTCAACTATAGATTTTTTTAACATCTTTTGTGTAACGAGTTAACATGGTGATTATCACATTTTAGACTTGACAGGTTTTAAGTACGTGATAGTGGGTCTTAATAGTTAATTATACGTAATGAACCGTTATTGGCTGTAATTTGATCGTAATTGTCAATTATCGAAATTTATTTATTTTACTAAATTTGAATATATATTGGATAATTTTTATTATTATGACCCTTCTTTCATAATACTTTACTAGTGTCAGGTTGCTTTCTAATACCTTTACCATCTTAAAATTTTAACGACACTTATTGCAACTCAATAACAATAAATCTCGATAGCTAATTAGCATATGAAATGATTTAAACTTTACAATAAGGTAATTAAACTTAAGAGAATAACTTAAAGACTTTTAACTGGGTGGAATTATCGTTAAATGACTAACGCAAAGAGATGTAAGACTACCATTATAATAGTTGTTATAAATACATTTACAGTTTTAGAATTTTCATTGAGTTGTATTTATTAACCCTCTTTATACAGAGTGTACCAAAATGAATTTCCAACATTCAAACGCGTTTTAAACAATTGTTGGAGATAGGAGGACCAAATAAAAATCAAGATAAAGTAGAAACTATGCTATTTATTTTTTATATAAAACTCCTAGCAAATATTTTACATGAAGCTTTTTGACGTTAAATAAATATTTTATGGTAATTTAAAATTATATTATATTTGTAATTTGACCATGATGTAGTCTAGATGTAACACCTCCTGATTTTTTTTTGTGGGGAAATTTGAAGAATCCCGTTTGAAAGTGGTGAATTCATTTTGACCCACTCTGTATCTTTAGTTAAAGAAATGTGTAATTTTTTTAAAAGTTAAGTTAAGTAATGAAATTTTAAAAAAATTAAATTTAAATAATAGTACATGAAATTTGAGAGGGAGCTTTTTGTGTTTATTTTTGAATTATGTATCTAATGAAAAAAAAGTAACACCATGTAATATTATTGGATAAATGATAAATATCTGAGATTTGTTCATTATAATAGTCTTAGGGATTTATTGTTTAAGTTTATGATGGCATTATAAAATAGAATGGGTCATAAAATTTTTTTAAATCAGATAAAATCTATGAATAATGGATTTATGTTTCTCGTTTTGTTATCGATTTGGCACGTTGAATTATTTTTATCTATAAACTATAGCAAATAAAATAAATTTATAGTCATGCCTAGAACAAGTGTATTACACATCATCTTTTTTTAGTTCTTTCAAAAATGAATTAAACAATTTGTTCAAGTCAAATATTACAATCTTATTAAAATAATTATTTGCTGTAAAATATTTCAATATTTTTGTGTAACTATTTTAGTATGTCAATAAACATAAAGTAATCGTATTATATCAATAATAATTAGTATAATAATTTTATTATCTCATTATAGGTTCTCTATGTAGTGATGTTAAGTAATATTGAATGAGACGCATAGTTACCTGACTCGGGAACTGTCGTGAAATGCAGCTGGATTATCTGGTTCAGTGAATTTCGGCAAACTACCTTGGAGCATGTATAGCCGGAATGTTAACAATATAGCTGTCTGTAAAGTTTTGGATAAGTACACGTTAAATTACATTTCTTGATGTATATAGAAGAGAAGGTAATTATTATAGTAATAATAATTACTGGAGTAGCAGTAATAGAAGGTAATAAAAATAACTATGAAAAATAAAGCGTCAAAAACGTTGTGACAAGCCATTTAAGGTTAAGAAATTTACAAAGTGAAGTGAACCATAGCCATCAATTTAATGACTTTACTCGTTCAAGAATAACATTTCTAATGTCGTGAGAACAAAATAATTTTACTATTGACACTGCTTAGTACAAACTATGAGTGAACTCTAACAGAAATAATAAATAAACCGTGACTTTTATAAATTTTTTTAGTAATACTTTTGTTTTATTAAAGTACTTTATTGCAATGAAAAAGTAAACGGTTCTTAATATAGAAATGTAAATTTTTTTATAGATTATAATCTTTTATTAAGCTAATTGTGAAAAAATTTGAAATAGCACAAAGTAAGTTGTATTGTTTTTGTTAAAACTAAAAATTTTCATGTATACTTACAGCAAAAATAGTTTTCAGAGCTCTCCTTGTGAATAATCTTGATTCTTCTGAATGTTTTTTTTCTATGAATGATCTATATACATATATATATATACATGTATAAATACCAATATCAATGATAAAAAAATCTTTCAAAAAGTATTTACTATGTTGTAATGAATACTATAATATAAATGTATTATTAATTTTTTCAATTATAATTGAAAAAAAATAGTTGTAAACATTTTTAAAATTTTATTTAGTTCAAGAAGAAAAATGTCGAATGCTAATATTTGATAATTATTTAAGAAAAATATGTTTTATTGGGAATTATACAATATTAATTTGTTCAGCAATAATTGTTTTTTACGTTAATTTTAAATGATAATTGTGAGAAATTTTTGAAAAACTTACAATCAAATTGTGTAATAATTTTTACTAAGTTAGATACATTGTATAAAGTCAATTGTAAAAAAATTATAATTAAAAGATTCAATGAACGATAAAATAACTAAACTTGAGATAGAATCGATAACTTTTAAAAGATGAATAAAGTGTAGCTGGAATTCAAGTACTTGAAATTATAGACTTGATATTACAAAAAAAAAGTCCTTCTCCCTTTATCCTGACTCAACATTACTTAAGATTTTCAACTTCAATCTACACTTGTAATGAAAGACTTTGCTCTCAAATATTAGGTATATTTGAAACACAAAAGAAGTTCATTTTAAGCATATAGAAAAATAGCTGACTTAATAAATGTCAACGACAGTATAATACAATCATTGCTCTTCATTGTATAGTTACTTTTTAATATGAGTCCACGAAGAATAAATGTCGTAAGCCAAGTTTACTAAAAGCACCATTAGTCCTGTTTCTTTGGCTAGCATCGACAATGCTCCAAATGTGCAACTTAATAGCACTTGTTCTTTAGATTTTTTCTGTGACCTATTATGAAAAACTTAGAAATAATATTTTTTTGTATTACAATTAAATTAAAATACTATATAAGATTACCATAAAACATTTTATTTTATTGCCGTGAGATTTAAATGTCACAAGTTAAAAAGATTTTTATTTTTAAATAATATTGCCTAAGTTTGATTCATAATTTTTTATTATTTTTCATTTAATATACTCAACTTACAGTTAGATTTTTATTTTAGTAATGAAAAAATTATCAATGTTAAATCTACACAACTTGTCATAACATTTATTTCAATGTGTTAATAAATTGTATTTTATAATAATTAAAATTAAAATTCATAATTTTATTGTAAAATTTATTTATTATATCTTAAAGTAGGGAATAATGAAGTTGACTTTTAGGGCAAGATGAAGTTCTTGAATATAAAAAATTTAGCAATTAACAATAACAAAATTTTCAAAAATTGAACATATACATTTGTTTTAAATTGCACTTATACATTTTTTTGCAAGAGTATTATAATATTGCTGTTTAATGGTCTTAACTTTAGCATAAAGAAAATATCAGTTTTTTCATACAAAGTTAACCTTTTCAACTTAACTTTTGAAAATTTTCTGAAAATACTATATGGTTACAAATATATGGTAAAATAAAGCTATGATGGATACCATAGGTTAAAAATAAAAAAACCATCCGGATGACTTGGCTTTTATGAACAACAGCTCCCGAAGTTAAACATACAATATCATTCTGATGTAAAAAATCGTTTTTTGTGTTGTTATAATTTTTATTTTTTATTTTCAGTTATTTGTGCTTATATTTTAGGTCAAATGGTATAGATATATATTGAGAGAAGAGGATAGTACATCCATCTAATCCCCCTTTTTACAAAAAAAAAAAATATAATAAAAATGATTTGTAAGTTATAAATATTTTCAGGCTGGATTCTCGCAGTTTTTAGTGTCAATTCAATAAGTGTGTTAAATGGAAGGTGGCTGACCTTACTAAAAAAAATATTTTAGTTACAAAGTTAAAATACGCTTATGATACATTAAAGTTTCAATTTCATAACTGAAATAATAATTAGCTAAAGAAGAACAGAATAATCAAATGAAGAAAGTTTACTTTCTTTCTTTATATTTTATAAATTCGTATTTACAATTTTGATAAACGTTTGATATAGAGATAACGATACTACTACTTTATAACTTTTTATAAAGTTTTCAAAATTATAAAAATTATAATACTAAATTATTGAATATCTATTTTATATCATATTTAATTTCTATTATTTGTATTTTTTCTCGTATTATACTTATAAATCTTAAAACTTGCAATAAGAATACATGTAGGAAATTAGGAATTGATTTTTTTTTTGGAATAATTCACAATTCCTTCTATAAATAAAAAACTATTTACAGATTTGTATCGAAGCGTTTATATTGATAGTAATTTTAATTGCTATCAGATATCATCTACACTTGTCCCAAGTATGTGTGTTTTCACTGTGCTGGTCAAATGGTCTCAATGTATCAAATAGTATTTCTACTAAATTTCAATTTTTTATGGTAAATGCTTTTTTTAAGAGATACAGTTAAAACTTTAGGGTATCATCATACCTTATACACCCCATATATTGTAGATTTAAATAACGGAATTTTGTATTTGTATTGATTGAATGAAAAGTTCTAGCATATATACAAAAATTAATTTTTGACACCAGTTTTGAGTAAAACATTTTACTGGACACGTTTCTTGGTACAGCTACAAGATTACATAACAGCTCTGGTGGACACTAATGATACACGCTAAATGCCAACGTTTAAACGGCTTTCTTCCCAGTGTAATCTCCATCTACCACAATGACAAATGATCCTTAGCAAAACCCTACCTGGTGTACCTCTCACAGACTAAGAAGACGTTTAAAAATGCTTACTATTTGTTTGAGGCTCTTAAATAAATGCTCAAAATGAAATGTTTTAATGGCATAATGTCTATAGAATTTAGTAGATTCAACTTGACATTGAGTGAAATGTGTTTTACAACAATAATGATAATTATGTGAATTATTGAATAAACATTTTCTATACCAATTTTAAGAGTAGCTATCGTAATACAATTTAATTTTAGTTAACATAAAACTATTTCAAAATTCTATCTTGTACAACTTACTCATGGTACGTTAAAAAGGAAAGTAAAAAAAATAAACAGGCCAAAATATCAGCTCTTCCGACAATACCCGTGACCTGTAACATAAATATAATATTTTTAATTAATACATTACATAATTTATATTGAATACTACCAATTGTTATTTTCAGTGAAAGTCATGAATTTTTTTTTAGTAACATGCCGCTGTTATTATTTTTTAATTTTATATTTTAAACAATTTAAAGTATATTATGATGTATTTAAAATATTTAATTTGTTGTTATTTTTCAATGAATCAATATTTTTCAAAATAAAATTAATATAATTCTGATTATATAATCGTATAAATAAATTGTATAGTTAGTTAATCAAATTATGTTTTAATTTTTATTATTAAATGAAAACGATTTTGAAAATTGCTAAAAAACTGATTAGTTAAATAATAAAGTTATTGATAATTTGTCAAATTATAAGAAGTATAGGAATTCAATTTCTGTTTTTTCAAAAAAAAAAAAAATTTATGAGATCATTTGTGAAACATAAAAATAAAAAAAATATTGTGTTTTAACCAAACTATATCTTTATTTCAAATATTTGTATTAATTTATTTTTTCAAGTCTTATCATCTTTAATTTCCCTTTTATTTATGACGTTATGTGCTACGAAAAATGCCTCTGATTTCACGGGCGTATATAAAAATTCATAATGTGGCAGTTCAAGAAAAATTCATTTGTCAAGCTATGAAAATGTTTGAGATTATTGTAATTATAATAATTATTAAATAACAGGCCAACAAAAATTTTGTATCAACACAACATTGTCTATGAAGAAGGTCATGTATCCTTCATTTAAAGTATACCACTTTTGAAAAAAACAAGTGTATTTTTTCTAATGGGATACTTAGTTATAAATAAATTATATGTTATAAAACATGATACTTCTATTTATAAATACCTTAATTTTTTTAAACAATATTTTATGTATTTCTAGGAAAAATTGCACAGTTTTAGTACAATCATTTTATTGGTTGTTCAAATATTAAGTAAATAATTTAATTTTGAAATTAATATATACTTAGTAAACATTGTTTTCTTCGATATTGCTGTTCCTTCATTATTTCCTGTCAAGTTTATTATTGTTTTTAATTTGTATTCTTTTACTATGTTTTCTTAAGTTTGGTAAATACAATAAGATTAAATCTGATGATGCACAAAGATTCTGGTGTGATTAAAGCATTTCATCATCACCCTCTACCCAATCTTCTCCTTGGTCGCTACGATTGAGGTTTCCAAGAGTGGTGCTCAAGGGAAATAACTGAATGGTTGGCTGAATGTGTTATCTTTTAAAATTGATGAAAATTAAGGAAGACAAAAAAACTCATTTTAGGAGAAATGTTTAGGTGGGGACGAATTTAGTGACAGAGGGCTGTGTAATTAAAACGATAAACGTCCCTAGAGTACTACCACTGCTCTGTACCAATAATACAGGTGATGCTGTTGCCGAAATTGTTTTCATCAGCTCTATGTGTACTGGAGAAGTCGTTGTATTTTGCTATTGCCTTAGCTACTGCACAACTAGTCATGAAACAATAGCTGCTGACAATGACGACAACTTTTAATTAAAACCTCTCCAACGTTTGCGTGAATGTCTCGATAAAATGAACACTTGATTGCAAATAAGTAGATGTTTATAAATAGAATAGAAGATTTATTGTAATATGAAAACTGTATAGCTATATAAATTATTGATATCTTAAATTATATTTATAAAATACTTTTATTATCAATGAGCGATATATTTCTGTAAGTGCCTATTTTAGTGGCGTTCTTAAGGTTTTACATATTGAGAATAAATATACATTATATATATATTTGTTTGCTACTTTTTCAAAATGCATATTTACCATGAATTTAATTAAATATAGGAGGTTCTATTTCGCATATTACCCGCGACAACTACCATTACACTTTCTTATTAGCAAATATGTAAATTATTAAGAAAGCTTTTATTTTTCTAATAATAATTGTTAATATTTGAAAATCTTAGGACATTTAAAGTAATAAAAACAGTGATAAACGATAAAAAATAATTTATTGTTTATGTATGAAGGAAAAAGCTAAAGAAAAGTTTTTATATCACCAAAAAATTTTTCAATTGAAACGAAATATAGAAAAAAGCAAAAGGAGTTCGTTAACTGATCGAAAAAATACCAAAGAAGTGTCTGGGATCGAAAAACTTTTTGACCATCAAATGCTTTTAATAAAAGGTCACTAAATAAAAATATTGTATACCGATCAAGTAATTCATGTGTATCATTTAAAATGTGACTTAAATGTGAACTTTTTCGATACTTTTAACTACTATAAAATAAATAAAACATGGTATAATACTAAATAATTTATTTATTTGCAAGTATTTTGTACAAAAATAAAGAATTATATTTATAAAATAATAATCGTTAAAAAATATTATTTTTATCATATTGACTGTAGTTTATCAATACAATATTTGTACTATGATTATTTATTTAATTGTATTTTGTATAACTATATTGAGTAATTGAGACATTTTTTTATACGTTAAGTTGTAGTTTTAAAAGTAGAAAATGTAACACAACTGAATATTTTAAGAATTCTACTACAAAACTTGGCTATTATGTATTCACGGCACATAAATCTTCAACCCTTTAGTTATTCGGATGAGCCTCAAGTGTATCAATGTTTTTTTATTATACTTTTTACTGAAGTTTTCGCTGTTTTCTCACCTATTGTTTTTCAACTACCGGATACTTTATTGTCTATCTATTACAAAAATCAATTTTTAAGTCTGTCGTAAGAAACATAGATAATGCTTTGTATTTACACAGTGAAATTATAATTGATCCCGTAAGAATTTAATAAAAAAACATCGGTTCAGTATATTTTAGTTATTATAGTATCATCAATCATTATGTAAAATATTGTTTCGCGAGTACCACATTTGTAACAAACATGAATTTTAACACACGAGATTTATGTAGATAGATATCTTTACCACAATTATTTCATCCATTTACCCAAAAGTTGAATCAATAAAAGTTTTAACGTAAAATCAAATATATTATTCCTGACTTCTGTTTTACACGAATAATACACAACAGTAGCTTATAATCAAAATAGTATTATCAAATGATGTTTATTTGTAACTTACTTCAATCATGCTATTACAGAAATTAAAACATAATATACGGTTTTATACTAATTATAGTTAAATCATGAATTCGTGTTTTTAAACGTCATAAAATATGCTGATCAATCAAACACATGAAGTGATCAAAATTCATTATATCATTTATTATAAAACAAAGTTGCGCTGGCGTAATGAATTCTAATCGTAGATAGAATTCATATTTCAACAAATCGATTATGTCAACAAATTGCAAATGTCTTAAACAGAAGAATAGAAGTTTAAATCTTCAGAAGTATTTGAATAAAAATTTACATGATGTATAGTTATTTTTATTTAAATATACTACAATCAAGTTTCTGTTTAGAGTATTATTCAAAGAGTTAAGATTTTTTTCAAATATAAACATTTCAATAAAAACTAAATCATGAATGGTGTTTATTTTGTTCGATTTTTAGACAATAAATAAAACGAAAACCGAAGATATTGTTTTGTTTTTTGTGTAGTTCGTGGATAACAATATTTCTATATGGAATGTCAAATCCTGTTGGTAAGCTGTATTCTCAACATGGAAAGTCGATTAACTCATGTAAATTTATTATTTGAGATCCACCGGCTCTTTTTATTTACATAGATACATAGATCTGTCGATGACACTGTTGAATATGTATAGGACACGCGATCGCGGGCTTTTCAATAGTATTTCGAAATACCATCTCTGATTTATAAATTCGTAGAATATTATGTGTAGCACCGAATATTCAGGAGTTATTCCCAGAAGGATATACAACAGTTTCACATAGTTTTCGTCTACGAGTCAACGATTTCAAATATGCCAACACATTCAAAACTGCTAGTTTGACATAAATTAAAAAAATGTCGAGTAGTCGAGCATAAAAAAAGTTACTATAGTCACATTTAATATTATGCACTGAAAACTGTTATACCGTTACAAGTTGTCTAGTTCCAATTGGAATACGCATACTTTATCCGGATCACTATTGTTCTAGATATTTTTTAATAGAAACAAAGTTTTAGCTCACCGCTTCTGTATGAATAGGATGGATGGCGAATACCACTCCAGCTAATACCCCGTACTTGTATTGTAATCCAGCCACGGCTATACAAAGTCTAGCGAAGAGTACACTGCACAGTCCATGGAGAACAACGTTGATAAGGTGAAACCAAACGGGTTCTAGGCCAAACATGTAATGATTCATCCTGAAAAACACAATTGGAAAAGAAACTTTTAAAACTTTTATTATAATTGAGTTTCGTGCAATACAAATAGCAGTAACTAATTCAAACTCTTTATGAATCATTCGAACGTTGTACAGAAATGTATAAATTCTAAACAGTTTTAATTATTATCATATTGTGATAATTTTCGAGCAAACGAACAATAGTTAGTTTTGATTGTAATAGCTGTCATAATAATTACCGTGTTAATAATATAACTATTGTTTTTATAATAACTGCAAAGGTCGATGTAAAAAAAAAAAAAAAGGTTTATTTTATCACAAATACAGATTAATTTACATAAATTAAAACATTTTAATTAAAACTGCCAATTATTACTGTATTTTCATTTAACGGACCAAAAGTTTTTTTCGGGCGACTACGTCACTTTCATTCGTGGAAAGTAAAACATTATTCGTATAACGGACAGCTACTGCGATACAATTGATAGCTGGCTCGTGCAGTTCTAGCTCTTATCTGATTTTATTAAAATGTAACAGCTAATTAATAAAATAAAAATTTGATTAATTAAGTGTCACAATTTGGCTTCTTACCAAGCTTAGTGAAATCTGATAAGCTCGATACGAATACAGTAAGAAAATGAGACATAGTTAAGGACGGAGTTAGTGCCAAACTTTTTCAACTTATAATTAAAACGGAGGGATTAGACTCTTTTTGAAAATAATTAAAACTGGAAATTATTTAGGAAAAAGATTAAACTATAGTGGAGAGTTTCATTCAGGCAAACGATTATCCGCGAGTAAATTTGAATAAAGATCGTGCGAGGAATATAGATTACACCGAAGTCCAAGTGCTTGTACTCACTACTCAGTATTCTTTAATGAAGTCATTTTAAAACTTTTCCCATCACGTCAACGACAGCAAGTAAACAACTACAGAAACAATTCTGATGCGATTACAACACTGTGTAAATCGATTATTTTACCGAATACTGTTTCCTTTCTCGTAACAGGTTAACACATAAGTTAGTGTAAAATATGTCCGGTCAATTACAACAGTCAATTAAATTTAAATCTTAATCGCTATGACCTCATCGAACCGCTTTATTGTCACTGGTAAAGAATTGTTTTTATCTCTATATTTTAATTATTTTTAGCAAGTGAAAATAAATCCGATGACAGATTATTTCAAAGAAAAACCTACAAAATACTATAACAAAAAAATTAAAATAATAATTTTGACGAACACGAGTAAAATGCAAAGCTTTTTTTTTAACTAACAGGTAAATGGGATAACGTAATTTTTTTTTTGTCAAAGAGTTTTTATATGCCCAAGAGTTAAATATATTTCAACGGAGGTGATTTTTCCCGTGATATAAATTATCTTTTTAGTTAGTATAATCACTTTTTGTTGGCACAAGCAAATTAAAAAAAAAAAATGTAAATAAATGAGAAGATCAAAGTGATAAATTGTTTATGTACGCGTATTGATTATTATAAGAAAAAAAAAAAAGAGTACGTTTCGAACGACATAAAAAAGGATAAGCAGCTGATATTTAATTAGATTAAATGGCGTAATCGTTTGTTATTCACAATAAAATTGGCTCTTTTGAAACGTGAATGTGTCAACATGCGTTGTGTTAAAAAGAGGGCAACTCGCCGAACGCCTGAAAATGTGTTTCGTCGCACTTTTTACTGTCAGGTTATTAAACTTTGGGAAAATTAAAGATACATTTTATCGGAGCACGAGAAATATGCAACGTACATAATTTGCGGAGTTTACGGCGTCGAATGGCAAACGCGAGTACAATTTCAGATATTATGAGGATTTGTTGCTTCGGTGCCGTAAAAAGTTTTTAAACGCAAATTATTGTATTGTAATGAACGGGCCACGACTTTTCTCGGGTCGCATGTATACGCGGTTGTGTCACATTGTAACGGCCTCAAGTCAATAAACCACGTGCGCCACGGCACAGCGCGATATTTTAATAGAGTTCTTCGACTCTGGGATCCGCCAAAAGGTGGTAAACCGTTTTATGTATTCCGTCGCCGCATTCGTGTGTGTTCTTCGCCACTGTTGTTATTTCGCGTTTATCATGTTAATGTACAGGTACACACCGGCGGGCTCGCATGGCCCGCGCCACTATATAACCAGCGGCAGTCGTTCGGCACGCAATTACCGAAAATCAAACGGCCGTGTGCGGCGCAGTTAAACTTTATACGTTATTATATTGTTTTATACGCAGTTCGTGACTGGATGGGTAAGTATTTAAGTAAACAACTCCTTTTCCGTACAGTGCACATTGGCGCTGGCAAACGCGTTTACGACAAATTCTATTATTCCGAGTGCCGTGCACATATTAGCCCCAAAGTGAGACCATGCCGGCGGCCGATGATTTCATTTGAAGTTTTTCCCGTCCCTTTTCGCTGGGCGCGCGGTGTCGGTGAACTTTTCTGTACATTTTTTCGTTTCGCTCTCGCCGACCTCGTTCCGGCTGCGCCGCCTAACGAGATTCGACCGACCACCACTGCAAAGTCCTCGGTCGTTACATACGCAACCGCACTTTTATGTACGTGCACACGTGCGACGGCGGCGTAATCTGATTAACCGGACACGTCGGCCAGTGGCCGTCCACCGACGTGCTGCGTGTTACGGTGTAATTTCGAAATGCGCGACCTCGGCCGGTGTGTTTCCAGAGCTCTAAACTCAATTATTATCGACTCGATGTCTCTCGTCCGTTCTGTTATTTTTACGGTGAGACGGCGACTTGTAGACGCCGCCGCCGTGTGCGGTAAAACGAAAGCGCCAGGGGAAAAAAGGAGAGGTACTGACGGAGTGCAGCTGCCGACGACACGGGAGAGGAGCACGTGAAGTGAAAATATATCACCACGGAATTCCAAAGTTCCGCCGTACGTTTAATCATATTACACAACAATGCCACGAGAAAACCCGAGCTTTGTAATTACGAAGTTAGCTGTTGACTAAGTAAATTAGCTGTAATGAAATTTGATTTGGGTGAATTTAATGTCACACTATTCGGTGCGTCGTTAATAGAATAATAATAATTATTTAGAAGGATGGCCGACACGAGAAAGTTTAGTTTAAACGCGTTCCATACGTCTATGACGTTTATTTATTTATGCGTTTTTTGTGTTGAAATTTCTCTGCAATTAGACCGTTACGACGAACGTTGCACGTTCGCAGTGGTTTTTTTTCTCTGGCGACCGGTCCGGAAATAACACCTTATGATGCGCACTGCTCGCGTAATAGTTACTTCACAAACAGGTAAAAAACGTACCTAAACCGTAGTACTATAATTTCCGATTCGTGAAAAAAAAAAAAAATGCCATAGAAATGACCCGTCCTGAAGTGCATTGCAGCTTCGCATGAATTATTACACGAGCACGAGCGTGTTGTATACGCACCGCGTACGTTGATAAGTAACGCGGGTCTCGATTGAATGATAATATTTATGTGCGAAAATGGTGTTCGATGACGAGGAAAATCGGAGAGATTTGTACAGCGAGAGGTTCCGTATCGGATTTGTGAGTATTATTATAATCACTGTTATTTCACGGTGTGTATTAATACAGCAAATGTGTATTTTATAGACATCGTGTGATACCGTGCCCAGAAATATGGTACTGCGTAATTTGCCGCTGTATAAAAAACGTTTTGGTCGGATTTCTAGATCGCTTCGAATCAATTGAACGGGCGTCGCTGATTTGTCTGTCAAACGGCCTTTCGAGTATTGTTCATTACAGAGAATTGTTGTTTTATAACTGTTCAAATACGACGTTGTTTTAAACGCATAAATAGCGAGAGAAAAATATTCATAGTACTTTGGAGTTTACTTGGTATTGTTTAATAGAAAATATTTATTCACTATCGGGTTTCTTCTTTTATGACAGTGTACGTTTATACCATAATAACGTTAAACTTTTGCCATAATTGTTATTATACTCTTATAACGCGATTAACGACTTTTTGTTTCTATGTTTATGAACTTACATGTATATTACAATCATAAACATGAATATTTTTTCATGTTTCGCCTCTATTATACGGGTTTTAATGTTTTCTCATGCCGTTTCAACAACATAATTTCTGAAAACATCTTTTCTCTTTCTTTCTTTCCTAGCGAAAATAACTTTCTTGTTTGCACGCTTCTTTCCCGTATAATAGCTCAACTATTTTCTCAACGTTGAATTTCCCATTAGTTTTTGTGTTCAATATAAAATACACGTCAACTATTGTTGCGCATATTAAAAATAAAAATCATGAATGATGTACAACTGGTACAATACACATATATTTTACATCGATCGTGATGACACGAATGTACCCAAATTGCATAACCGGAGTGCCGTCTAATACGCCGTACGTTGCGCTTATTATGATTTATACTTCCATTTCACTGCGTCAACCCCATTCCCCCCCCACCACTGCTACACGACCCCGTGACAAATAGGAAAAATTGTTCAGTACATGTTTTCGATAGATGCCAAATAAATCGCAAGTCTCAGATTGACAACTTAACACTGTGGGTGTTGGTGAAATATTACTGCATTTAATATTTTTTGGCAATGCGAAAATAGTGTATAGTACGTTTGAAAATATTTACCATAACGTATCCAAAACATATAGTGTTGTAACATTTAAAAGATTTGCTATTTCAACAGTAACACTAAAAATAATGCAATTAATGAAGAATAGTTATTTTTTACATTTAATTTATGCGTATAACTGAATATATTTTACGCTTAAAAACTTAGTTCTTAAAAGGCTGATAATTAACACTGTGAAATAATAAAATATTAATTAAATAAACAAATTTAATTATTTTATTTTCGTATTAAAATTGTTTGAAAAAATTGATTTTTTTTTTGTCGATATATATAAGATGTTTTGTAAATAAGGAAACTGGTATCTATTTTCCCATTGTTTGTAATAACTGACCTCTTTCCTTAATTATTGAACACCTTGTATGTATATCTTAAAATTTAGTTTATAAAATATTT